ATGTGCTCCATTTTAGACTGAGGCTCCTGAAGGTGGAATTGAAAATGGTCCAGATTCACCTTCTCAGCAATGATGGAGCTAGGGTGTCAACCCTGCTGAGGCAGCTCCACACCGTACACCTGCCTGCCCAGACTTCCAAATCAGACCTTAAGGACCAGGGACTTGCTTTTGCAATGAGATTTGCTCAGTGTCTCCCTGACCTCCCTAAGTACAGGAGTCCCCTCCCTTATCCATGGTTTCAACTACCTGTGGCCAATACAGGTCTGAAAATATTAGATGGAAAATTCCAGAAATAAACAATTAATACATTTTAAATTATTTACCATTCTGAGTAGTGTGATGAAATCTCACTCCATCCTACTTTGTTCCACCTGGGACATGAGTCATCCCTTTGTCCAATGTACCCATGCTGCATAAGTTACCCACAATTCCTGTATAGCAAAAAGCATAGTGTTATAAGGTTTGATACCATCTGCAGTTTCAGGCATCCACTGGGGATCTTGGAATGTTTTCCCTATGCCTAAGGGGAAACTGCTGTACAGAGCCTCATGCCTTTCTGTTTTGAAGACCACTGGATCCTGTTCTGTTTCTTCATAGAACTCACAATCACAATCCTGTACAGGTTTCTCTGTTAGTCTGTCTCTATCCCAAGTCTGTAGCCCCCATGAGGGCTGGGACAGTCAAGAATGACCCCAAGTCTTCAAGAAAAGTTATGATTATCTTCAGCATTTCAGTTCCCCTATACTCAGAGTCCTGCAGCTTACAGAAGAAATTTCAGTTTCCCCGGACCCAGAGTTTTGCATCTCCATCGTGGGGACCAACATGATTTAAATGAAAGATAAATGTTCACAGCATCAACTTTATAATCCAATTCCATCTCTTTAAAACATCATAAAGGAAATACTGGTTTCTAAGGAAAACATCTGATTCCATGCCCCCATTCTTTGCTGTACACGTGGGTTAATTCGGCATCTAGGCTGACTGAAAAATGATGTAAGAGATTTTCCACATGGCACTTGCTGCCAGATTAAGATAGAAAGGTCATAAAACTGAGAAAAGATGGATCAACATGTACATATTCATCTTATCCTGGGAACATCTATACAGCATGGTACTGACATTTCCCACACAGTTATTTGACCCTAACAACAACTCTCAGAAGCAGGTAGGACCAGAGCATTCCAGGACCGCCACCCCGGCTCTCTTCTGGAAGCCCTGCAGGTGGGCTCCACCTGCTGTGAGCATTTATCTTTAGAATAGATCGTGTAGTTAGAGCTATAAAACTCCAAGTACAGGGAAATGGAAATTGCTTCTGTGAGCTACAAAACTTTCTGCACCTGCTCTCTCAAAGCACCCTTACTCTGGGCTGAAACTATCACTCAGTTCTCTTCCCTGAACCAAACCAAGAGCTGCACAGGGCCTGCTGGAGGGTAAGGGATATGGGATATTCATGGATAGAATGAGTAATTGGGGTGTGGAGCTTGACCCAGGCTTTCTGACTCCAAGTTCCAAGTGAGCCTTCCACAAAGGCTTATGAACATGTGTGTGTTACAATACACATACTGGTCCCCCCACCTGCGATGGTTTTCTCAGCTTGCTTGCCTTCCAAACTCCTATTCAGCCCTGAAAACCCAGTTTAAATAATCCTCTGCCACGAATTCTTCCCCAACTCTGCATAATAGTCAAGGTTCTCTAGAGAAACACAACCAACAGAAAATAGATAAATATAGATAGATTTGTTATAAGGAATTGGTTTATGCGATTATGGAGGCTGAGAAATCCCACCATCTGCTATCTGCAAGTTGGAGACCCAGGAGGACCAGTGATGTAGTTTCAGTGGGAGTGTGAAGGCCAGAGACCCAGGACGGCCAGTGAGAAGGTGGGAGAAGACAGGTGTCCCAGCTTGGAAACAGCCAGGCAGAGAGAACCAGTTCTCCCTTGCTGCTCCTTTTGGTTGTATTCAGGTCTCCGACAGGTTCGATGCCATCCACCACGTTGGGGAAGACAATCTGCCTCACTCAGTCTACCCATTCAAACATTAATCATTCAAATTAACCTGTGAAGGTTAAACTCACTCACGGACACCCCCAGAAACCATGTTTAACCAAATGTCTGGGCACCCCATGGCCCAGTCAGCACGACACATAAATTACCCATCCCACTCCCCCTCGAGCAGAACTCATTTTTTTCAAACCTCACACTCGGACACAGCCTCAGAACTTCATTGCCACTCTGCTTTCTACAACATGTTGTCACTGGACGTCAGCTTGTCCTTGTCCTCAGCCATCCCAAGAGTTCCTTAAGTGGGCAGGGAGTGGGCTGTGTTCATCTCTGCACCCCCCATGCCCACACAGGGCCTGGCCCCTACAAGGGGTTTGGGACACGTTTGTTGACATAAGACAAGTTATTGCTATTACATATTTATTTATAATACATAGGATTATGAATATACTCAGCAAATATTTAAGCACTTCTTACATATCAGCCCTGTTGTAGGAGCTGGGAAGATAAACCTAATCAAAAGAGACAAATCCCTTGCCTGGTGGAGCAGGTGGCGATAGGGCTGTAAAGAGCAGTGTAGCAGGCCAAGAGGAGGAGAGGTTATTTCAGGAAAGGGCTCTCTGATAAGGGGGGATTGGTGAGGACAAGAAGGACCTGGGGGAGCAAGCGTGGGGCTCTCAATGGCAAGGTGCTCCATGCAGGGGAACGGACCGTGCAAAGGCCCTGAGGTGGGAGAGAAGGTGACACATCCAAAACAGAGAGAGGAAAGGTTGGGCGTAGTGGGAAGTGCCTGTAATCCCAACATTTTGGAAGGCCGAGGAGGGAGGATGGATTGGGCCCCCAGGAATTTGAGACCAGCCTAGGCGACATAGTGAGACCTTGTGTCAAAAAACAAAAAAAAACACAGCTTTAGAAAGCCAGGGCAGCCAGGCACCATGAGACAGGTGGTCTGGGAAGCTGGGTCTGCGCATGTGCTCTGGGAGGCAGCTGGGTCTGCGAATGTGCAGCCTTCCCGATGTCAGGTCTGTGTGTTTTCCTGGGCCTGAGACAGCAACAGAGGAGTCTGAGAAGAGACGTGACATGGCCTGGCTTCGGCTTTAGGAGACAGAGAAATGCAGTTGATTGTCCTGGTACAAGCCCCTTCTGAGTGCATGTGCACTCCTGGGATTCTCGAGGCTCCCTAAGGAGTAAGGTCTGGTGATCCCCTGCTCTGCCCGGGTGAGAAGGCCTTCATCTGCCAATGCAGGGCCACACAAGGGCAGGGAGTTTCATATGGATTTTTTTTTTAACTTTCCTGGCCCATGGAACCCCTGACCCAGTGGAGCTTTATCTGCTAAGTGGGCACCTTCCCACCCCAGAGCCAGCACCCAGGACCCTTCACTTCAGGGCTGGCTGCCAGGCCAAGGCAGCACCTGGAGCTGCCTGAATGCCCAGGACATGCTCATGTCCACACTGCCATCCTGTAGATCTCCAAGTGTTTGTGCTTTGCTGAATGTACATTTGTGATTTTCTGCTCACCCCCCCTTACACTTTGACCCCCTCTGTTCACCCCACCCATTCCCTGCTTCCTGTGTGCCAGACACATATGCTTTTGTGGCATTTGCCTGGTGGTATTTGCCTGACACCCGGTGAGTGCTCCATACGTGTTTGTAGAATAAAGGGGAAAGCACTCAGACACTGTGCTTACAGAAGAGCAGAGGATTACACCAGGACTTAAGTGATGGATGAGCACTGAACAAAGCAAGAGGGGGAGGTCATTTTCAGCAAATGCTCACAAGCAGGATGCATTCGGAGCCCATGAGTCACTCACTCAGCGTGGAGGGTGGCTCTGGATGTTACAGCAAGGCTATGGGGGAACTCGTGAATTCCAAGGGGTTGGGTCATTGTCCCCTGACATGACAAAATGCAGGTGTTTCCAGAATATTAATCCAGCAGAAGGATAGACTGAAGGAAAGGAATCGGAAAGCCAGGAGATTGATTTACAGCCCTTTGTTGCAGACTTGTATGTACGTTGCATGAGTTTCTAAACCCTGCGATGGGAAGAAAGGTGTGATGGCCAACAGCCTTGGGGTCAGGGGTGAAAGGACACGAGCCGGATCACAGTGAGGGTGCTGCATTTCATCCTGGCAAGAATTCTGCCCAGCTGTGGCTTTCTGTCCTACATCTACAATTGGGAGAACACTGGAGGCATCAGATGTCGTAAGGACTAAGAACGAACCCTGGAGAGGCTTAGCATCTGGGTGCTATTTGTAGAGGTGTGCTGGGTGACATGTACTAGAATCTTTCATTTTGAAGAACCTGCTGGATAGGACTAGAAAAGTAAAGGAGAAAAAAACTCCAGGACTGATCGACTAGAGAACGGGAAAGTTTCCCTTGATGTCACAGTGGGCACTGGGACCGCATGTCCCCAGGGGCCTCAAACTCCAGAGCTCACCTTCCTTTAAATACACACCCAGTATGGTCCAAGCCGATGCATACTACAGGGAGTCCAGCCTGCCTGAAGTGCTTCCTCACTGGTATTAAGGACACCCCAGGGAAGGTGGGCCTGTCCTCTATTTCCAGAGGCAGCCCTTTATCCTCTGTGGCCACCTCTTCACCCAAGTACCCAGGGGACTTCATCAAGCACAGTGCACATCAGACTGTAAGGTTTAACCAAACCTTATGGAGGCTGTGGGAATTACAAACAACTGAATTCAGAAAAGGCAAGTTTCAGCCGGGCACGGTGGCTCACATCTGTAAGCCCAGCACTTTGGGAGGCCGAGGTGGGCAGATCACCTGAGGTCGGAAGTTCAAGACCAGCCTGACCAACATGGAGAAACCCCGTCTCTACTAAAAATACAAAATTAGCTGGGTGTGGTGGTGGGAGCCTGTAATCCCAGCTACTCGGGAGGCTGAGACAGGAGAATTGCTTGAACCCAGGAGGCAGAGGTTGCAGTGAGCTGAGATCACCCCATTGCACTCCAGCCTGGGCAACAAGAGCGAAACTCCGTCTCAAAAAAAAAAAAAAAAGAAAGAAAGAAAAGAAAAGGCAAGTGAAGCCTCAGCAGAGGGTCCTCAGTGCTTTCCCACTTCTTAGCCCCCCACTGTCTTCTGCCACGCTATAGGGACCTGCTTTTCTTTCACAGATTTGGGGTCTCCTCCCCCTACCCTCAGCCCCACTCCCTTAGCCCCGGAGACAGTAGGAGACCCTCTGCTCCCCTGAGCCCAGGCCTGTCTCACGTTTCCCATGGAGATGAGCAACAAGGGGAAACATAGGTCTTCTTAAAGAACTTTCCATTCCCCACCACCACCTTAGCAAGGCGGCCAGATGCATCTCTGAAGTCCAGCTCACTCAGGCCAGCTCTCTTCATGGCCTGTCTTCCAGCGAGAGGCAAAGCAGAGATCAGAGCTGCATGTGCTCTTCGTGGCAGAGCTGGCTTTATACGCGCTCCTGGGTGAATCAACAGGGAGACATCTCCTAAGAATAAATGTTTCTCAGAAACAGTATCGTCTAAACTCATATTGAAGGGAGAACAAGCCAGCCGCGGGCTGGAGAGACCCCCGCCTACGTTACTAAGTAACAGGAAAGGCTAAGATTTGGAGCCTTCTTCTGGTTCAGATCTATCCCCAGAATGATGGAAGATGCTTTCCTGTTGACAATTTTTTTTTATTGCAAATCCCACCCAGGAGGTCTCTCCTGATAGGAAGGAACCATCCTCTAAGGCAAATTCTAACTTCTTCTCTGAAATGTACATCCACTACTGAGCCTCAGAATGCTATTTGTTCCACCTACTTCCACAGTTTTAAGGTCTTCAGCAACAGGAGAAAATAGCAGGAAAACTTGAAGTGCAGTTGGCTCCCACTGAGATGTCACTAGCAGAAAAAGGGAACACAAGGAAAAGGCAAGATTCTAAAGACAGAGGTAACACCTTCTGCTCCAAACATTTAGAGAGTCACATTCCCAGAAGTCAGACTCGAAGCCCTGAATTCTGGCATGAATGAGTTCTCCTACATGTAGGGGGTGGCCTGGAAAGATCTTAATTTTTAAGATGGCAGGTAAGGGGCCTTCAGTTGGAGAATCTTGCCACCTGATTCTCAAAGAAAGCCAAAAATATCTTACTGTCTGAAACATGAGGTCTTGAGTAGTTCAACTTGACCCATGCCAACATAATTTCAGAGCCGCCAAGGAGGATTAGGAAAAAGCGTATCTGGTCTTACTCAACTCTGAACATTGCATGAGTCAAACGTTTTCCTAGCTCTCTGTGTGATGGGTCCACTCTGATGAATTCTTGGCAATGTATCTTTCATGACCAAAATTCAAAAGGGGCCATTCGAAGTGGCTCCCACAAAAGCAGCTGCAGAGCCCCAGACATTCAGAAGCCAACAGTGAAGGGGTCAAAAGCCGTCCTTCAATGTTCACTGATACTTTGCGAGCCTTGGGGCAAGTTGGCAATGCCAAACGTGTTTTTAGGGCCTATTGGCCAATGTACAGGTCTTGGGCAGGATTGCAGCCCTCTGCAGATGGTACCAAAGTAAAAGAGGAGATGGTAACTGAATAATCTGTCATCATCCCTTCAGTGCAAAGTGAAATGAGAGTGGATTTTTCCTTCCAAATCCACTTGGAGTGAGTCCCGAAAGACTCACTTTTGCGGCAATCCCCACAATGACGTCACTGGAGAGGAGGTTATATAATTTAAAGCGACCACATTTCCACAGAGCTTCCCAGAAGAGAAAACACCTCCAAAGGCAGCTCTCACGATCAGAAAACCCAGCTAAAGTTGTGAACGCCTTCATTTTCTGCCTGAGTAAGTAAATGACCACCTTTTTTCTCTTTTATGAGAGTACAATATAAGGGGAAATCTGTGTCTCTTAGAAAAACAAAAAACTTCCTTTTACACCTACCTCTTGGCAAAATGTTCCGCTTCTGTGAGGGTACTTTTTAAAAGTAACTCTAAATCAATTTAAGAGACTTTTATTTCATGTCTAGTTTAGGTCTTAATTGCTTTTGCAGAACAGGAGGAGGAGGGAAAGGTTTTAGAACTGTTGGGAAGGTTCCAGTAACTCCTTACATCAAAATCAAGTGAAACATGTCAGGGCTGAATACAGCCCCCAGCGCTTGCATGGACTCTGACCCGTTACAGCCTGCAAATTCTGAATCATAAAAATTAAATTAGTCTCTCTGGAATGGCTTACAAGATTTCATAAGACCAATAACTGGTTGGGTTATTCGTAGCTTGAAAGTAGCATCTTATTATGTGACCGTGCTGACGGTCTTTGACATCTGTGGCTGGATTTCCAACACCTTTCTCATCACCATGCTGTTGAAATTGGAGTTAATTTGAAGAATTAACTAATTTGTTGGAAAAAGTCACACTCTCTCATAGCCAAGGTTAAAATGTGCAGAATCCAGAAAATACCACACAGAAATTACAGAATCTCCCTCCCTCGTAGACTTGCCCAATGCCCCTTCTGAGTTCTTTAAATAGGGTCACATATTACTAAGAATATCCACAGATATTGTTTATTGAACACCTACTATGTTCCAGGCAAATATCAGAGCTAAAGCTAAACCTGGGAGGCCGAGACGGGCGGATCACAAGGTCAGGAGATCGAGACCATCCTGGCTAACACGGCGAAACCCCGTCTCTACTAAAAACACAAAAAATTAGCCGGGCGAGGTGGCGGCGCCTGTGGTCCCAGCTACTCGGGAGGCTGAGGCAGGAGAATGGCGTGAACCCGGGAGGCGGAGCTTGCAGTGAGCTGAGATCTGGCCACTGCACTCCAGCCTGGGCGACAGAGCGAGACTCCGTCTCAAAAAAAAAAAAAAAAAGCTAAACCTGGCAAAGGAAGATGTCTCCTTTCTGGCCAACTTTATAAACACAGACAGCAGCAGGTGAGGACAATCCCTTTAAAAATAAGCCCCACGTGAGCAGACACATGCTGTGGCTGCAGTGGCCCCAGCCACCTCCCAGTCCTGGGAATGGGGGTGGTGTCCGCTGACCTAATCAGATTCGAGCTAAAGTCCCTGCATAGCTGGTCGTCTCTGGCTTCCTGGGCAAGGTGCAGCCTCACCCCCTGTGCTGGTTTCCTAAGGCTGCTGTAATTAATTATCACAAAGTTAATAGCTTAAAATGATGAAAGTTATTGTCTTACGGTTCTGGAGATCAGAAGTTCAAACTCAGTCTCGCTGAACTAAAGTCAAGATATTGGCTTGGCTTTGTTCTCCACCCCCATGATTCAATTATCTCCCACCAAGTCCCTCACACAACACACGATAATTATGGGAGCTACAACTCAAGATGAGATTTGAGTGGGGACACAGTCAAACCATATCAGTGCTCAGCACCCTCCTGTCTCTTCTCAAACTCTCAATGCCCCAGCCCCTGCACCATAGGTCAGGATCTCGCCTTCTTTCTCCCTGAAAATTCCCAACCTATCACAGGGGAATTTCACCCATTCCCACTGGCCAATCTCTGTCACCATAGACCTCGGCTTCCTGGCCATCATCAGAGATAGCTAGAAGGATGGCCAGGCCATGTGTTGTGCACACTGCCAGGGCACTCCAATAGTCAAAAATTATTTCCAAAAAAAATCAGTATTTATAGGTAGAAAGAGAGAGGAAAGAAGGAAGGAAGGAAAAAAGGAAGGAAAGGAGGAAAGGAAGGAAAGGAAGGAAGGAAGGAAGGAAGGAAGGAAAGGGAGGGAAGGAGGGAGGAAGGAGAGAGGGAGGGAAGCAGGATGGGAGGGAGGGAGGGAGGAAGGGAGGGATGGAGGGAGGAAGGAAGGAAGGGAGGGAAGGAGGGTAGGGATGGAAGGAGAGAAGGAGGAAAGGAAGGAAAGAAGGAAGGAAGGAAGGGAGGAAGGAAAGGAGGAAGGAAGGGAGGGAGGGAGGGAGGAAAAAAGTCCAACAAAATTGTTATATTATATTGATGGTGTTATAAAGTAGTTCTAGATAAAAACTATTTTCAAAAAAAGTCTTTAAATACGTATACATGCACCTATGAATATTAAAGCAAAATAAAACATTTTTATGTTAATTAACTGAACATTTAAAAATAAGATAAGCAGGAGGTGGAGGTGGGTGGATCACAAGGTCAGGAGATCGAGACTATCTTGGCTAACATGGTGAAACCCCATCTCTACTAAAAATACAAAAACTTAGCCGGGCTTGGTGGCAGGTGCCTGTGGTCCCAGCTACTCGGGAGGCTGAGGCAGGAGAATGGTGCCAGCCCAGGAGGCAGAGCTTGCAGTGAGCCGAGATTGCACCACTGCACTCCAGTCTGAGTGACAGAGCCAGACTCCATCTCAAAAAATAAATAAATAAGATAAGCAAAATAATTTTTCTCGTTGCATATTCACATGCTACGGTTTCTTGTACCTGACTGATACCATATCTTTGGCATTTTTCCCAATAATGTATTTTCTTCAATGTGGTCTTGTTATTTTTAATTTTTCCATATAATTGCCTGAAATCTTTTTTCCACAAATTTTACAATTAACAAATTTAAATTAGTACCTTCAATTGACTCTTCTCTTGAACCATAATATATTGAGAAAATGTTCCGTCTGTAGGTTCTGAGTGATAAGCTCTCAGCAAATTCTGCCAGGCAGAGGCTGTTCTCAAGTCCAATTCTTTGCCCATGGAATTGCATAATATTTTAGCCCAGATATTTTCACAGGTGCTGTCTTTGTGCCTTAGTTTGGAGAGCAGTGGCACTATCTCGGCTCACCACAACCTCTGCTTCCCCAGCTCAAGCGATTCTCCTGCCTCAGCCTCCTGAGTAGCTGGGATTATAGGTGCCCGCCACCATGCCTGGCTAATTTTTTAATTTTTAGTAGAGATGAAGTTTCACCATGTTGGCCAGGTTGGTCTTGAACTCCTGACCTCAGGTGATCAACCTGCCTTGGCCTCCCAAAGTGCTGGGATTACAAGCATGAGCCACCGCGCCCAGCCCACAAGTATTTTTTTTTTTTTTTTTTACCAGATTAAACCTTTCAAATAAGTTGTACCTACTTATAAGTTTTGAATGTTTTGTCAAATTCAGATACTGCAAATCACTGGTTTTCTCAATTTCATTTCATTTCCATACAGAACATGAATTTATCCAATTAAAAAGATTCTTCCCACAAACTGAAATATTCCAGAGCTCATTTTAGAATTTCAAAATTAACTCTTCTACAGCATTTGATTTTGATCATTTTCTGATACATTTTATAATTTTTCTGCATACCAGCTTTGTTTTCAATACTTATAATTCACTAAAAGCTTTGAAAGCTGATGTTTTGGTGCTCTATTTATTGAATAACTTGACTAAATATTTCCAACTGATTTGGAACAAAATTCAACAAAAATTTAGAGATCTGTTTCAACACACTATTTAATAACGTTTTATGGCACTGAGACTCAGTGTCCTCCAAAATTGGTTGATAATGGGAAAATAAAAAAGAAAACACACGTGAAAGTCAAATTTTTTAAAAAATTCATGAACAACTTTATCACATCAAGTTTGTAGTTCAGTAAATCTGTGCATATGTTTTAACATTTTATAAATCTTGTCACGTACATCTATTTCTATTTATAGAATATTGACATTTATTTACATGCAGTAACAAATTGTGTATGCACCATGACCTGTTCCAATCACATTTCTGTTTCATTAGTGTCTTAATTTAGTAGGAATATTGTTGTTACCATGACACTGGACTCCACCAAAATTTGTGTTTTATCCTCACAAAAATGCAATGACTTTATTTCCAATATGGAAAATTTAAACAACTTAAAATAGCATTCACAAAAAGTCAGTTGTTTCACTTTGCCAGAATGAATGTTGCAAAGCCCTGCTTTGCTTCCATGAGCTGAATGAAAGAATGAATTGTGATTGGAATTGACAGGCTTTTCTGTCTGAAGAGTCTGAGGATACTGGTGTTGAGCGGGCACCATTTTGCTTTCTATGACATTCTTCTTATGGAGCCAACGCACAGTCAGCCATCACTTCCACTGTTGCATGTGCACAAGAAAAGCTGGAATTAAATGTGAGCTGAGTTAACTTAAAAAACAGTCATTTGATCTAAGGGAAAAGTCATGCCCTTTCAGAATGATCTTATATCAGCATCTTTTGCAACTACATGGATGAGAACCGTGTCTTAGGGCGCAATGTTCTTTTGGTTTTTTGTGTTTTTCTGAGACAGAGTCTCACTCTGTCACCCAGGCTAGAGCGCACTGGCACGATCTCAGCTCACTGTAACCTCTGCCTCCTACGTTGAAGCAATTCTCTGCCTCAGCCTCCCAAGTAGCTGGGATTACAGGCACCTGCCACCATACCCAGCTAATTTTTATATTTTTAGTAGAGACAGGGTTTCACCATCTTGGCCAGGCTGGTCTTGAACTCCTGACCTCTTGACCCACCTGCCTTGGCCTCCCAAAGTGCCGGGATTACAGGCATGAGCTGCTGTGCCTGGCCTGGTGCAATGTTCTTAAAATTACTAATTTCTAAAGTAGCAGCTCTGTGTCAGGTTTTCTTGCAATCAGTGAAATTGCTACAGACCCCATAGTGATGCAAATGTCAACAAATATTCTATGCAAGCTATCTGCTCATCAGCAACTTCCTTGAGCAACAGAAGTGCAGTACTTAAATTTCCATTAAACATTTGTTTTTTAGCTCATCACTCCAAAAGAGTTTATTGCAAATTCTTTAAGTATTGCCAAATGATAAAATAAACATAGTTTTGGATTTATGCCCTGCAAAAAATGACCAAACTATTGTAACAAGAGCCTCCAGCCTCCTCCATATTATGCTCTGGGTGGGGACTGCTCGGCTTCCATGTGCCATGGATATTTCACAACCACCAAATCATAATTTCCCGTGTCTCCTGTTGATCTGTCAACTGGCAGCTCTGCAGCTTCTGCTCTTTTATCTACTCTCTCTCGGTGATTTCATCCAGCTGTGTGACTTTAAATGCCGTTCCTGTGGTTACAACTCCCAGTTATGTCTCATCATCCCAGATCTTGTCCCTGAATACCACACTTGTCTATCTAATTGCCTACCGGATGTCCCCGTGTGATGTCCAATTTACATCTCAACCTTAACAATTCCAAAGTTGAACTCCTGATCTTCCCCACCCCCCACAAAAAAACTGCTTCATCTTCATTCTGTCACCTTCATTTCAGCTGATGACAACTTCATACTTCCAGGTGTTCAGTGCAAAAACCTTGGCATTGTCCAATTTCTCCTTTCTCCTACCCAGATCCAACTGAAAATCATGGTGTTACTACCTCCAAAACACCTCTAGGATTTGATCACTTCTCACCACCTGCACTGCTACTCTCCCCAGCTGTCATTCGCCAGCATGTTTATTTAGTGTGTGTGTTGTTTATCAACTCCTTCCTCCCGCTAGGCTTATACGCACACTGAGAGCAGGGGTTTTTGCCTGCTGTATTCACTGCTTTGTCCTAAATACCTAGAACAGTACCTGGCACATAGTACATTCTCAGTAAATACTTGTTCAGCAAAAAAAATGACTGGAGGAACCAGTGAATTATACCCCAGTGTGAATAACTCCATGTGAGTGACATGACAGACTATCACAGCTAGAAGAGCCTCTTGAGGACATCGTGTCTTCCTTCGGTGAGGAAAGTCAGGCTCAGAGACATGAACTGACTCTCCCGAGGTTACACAGCCAAATATGCTCTTCCAGGACTAATTCTCTGCTACACGATAGCTTTTGTTGGTATCTGTGAGGCTTTGCGCAGTTGAAGCAATCTCAGGTGTCACCCAGTAATAACAATCATGATGGTGACAGCTAACATTTGCCACGTGCTTACGATAAGTCAAGAACCCTGCTAAGCACTGGGTGTATATTAACCTATCCAAGTTGTGGAAGAATGTTTAGACTCTGAAGATCATCTGGAGCCCCATAAATCCCACAGTGTAGGCAGCTGCTCACTCTGCGGATAGTGTTCTGTGGGTCCCCGAGTTGGCTGTGGCCGGTTTTGCGGGCAGGAGGCCACAAAGCCATGAGCACAGGATGGGATCTACCACTTGTGGGACCACAGAGGGCTGGGAGACACAGTCTTCCCTATGGAAAGAGACAGAGCTTTCTATCCCTCTCCCGGTGAAACTCAGCATGGGAGCATGGGAGGCAGGTCTGCTGCGTGGCTGTGAACGTGAGCTACGGGGGGCATGCAGACCAAAGTTCATAGTGTACACTGTGCCCACCAGCTCTAGCTCCTCCAGCAAGCGTAGGAGGCCAGTCAGCTGCATGGCTGTGAGCACGGCCTCTGGGGCCCATGCAGACCAAGGTTCCTAGCGTAGCACTGTAAACACCACCTAGGTCTTCTCCGACAAGCTGGTTAACTTCTCTCAGCCTGGCTTTGTCCTTCACCGAGCAGGGACAGGTGCAGCAGAAGAGAGCAGAAAGCAGCACAGGCTGTCAATCAGGCTCTCAAATCAGACTGCCTGGGTTTGAATCCAGGCTCTACTGACCAGCTGTGTGACCTCAGACAGGTGACTCCGGGTCTCAGCACTCAATTTTCTCATTGGCCAAGTGGAGATGACAATGGCCCCCACCTTGAATGACTGCTAGGAATATTAAATGAGAAAATACTTAAATGTGAAACACTTAGAATGGCACCTGGAACACAGAGACCATTAATACCATCTAACAAATGTAGTTGTTATCCTTATTTATTACTCATGCTTTCCTTTTTCTTTTATCTTTTTTTCTCTCTCTCTGTTTTTGTTGTTGTTGTTGTGGTGGTTGTTGTTGTTGAGACAGGGTCTCAGTCTGTCGGCCCAGGCTAAAGTGTGGTGACACAATCATGGCTCGCTGCAGCCTCGACCTTCCAAGCTCAAACGATCCTCCCACCTCAGCCTCTTGAGTTGCTGGGACCACAGGTGTGCACCACCATGCCCAGCTAATTTTTGTATTTTTTTGTAAAGACAGGATTTCACCATGTTGCCCAGGCTGGCCTTGAACTCTTGGGTTCATCTGATCCACCTGCCTTGGCCTCCCAAAGTACTGAGATTACAGGTGTGAGTCACCACACCCGGCCAGCACTCATGTTTTTCAGGCCCATAAGAGGAACCTCCTAGCACTGCCCCCATCCCTTCCACCACACTGGTCCCAGCCACAACAGGTCAGCTTCCTTTGCTGTTCCCGGGCTTCCCTCAGTTCTGTTTCAAGCCATGACCTCTGCCTCCATGTCTGCAGCCCCATGAGGCTGGGGCTACTCTGTCCTGCATATCTCCAGTGCCTGGCAAGGGGCTGGTGTGAAGTAGCTGCTCATTAAATGCCGTTAAAACCCTAATAGTAATAATAATAATAATGGTACACTTGTTACTAAGACTAATGACTACCTTCCAAAGTCTTTCCTCTATGCCAGGTACAGAGCTAAGCACCCTGTAGATCCTAACAACAGCCCTCCCATGATCCCACAAGAGAGACACGATTCTTTCCAATATTTAAAAAGGAAAGTGAAAGTCCATGGGTCTAAGTAGCTCACACTGAGTGATTGTACCAGGATTTGGACTCAGGCACCATCCCTTAAACCAGAGGTCAGCAAACTTTTTCTCTGCAGGAACAGATGGTAAATATCTTCAGCTTTGCAAGCCAGACAGTCTCCGTTACAAGCACTTGACTCACCCTTGTAGCATGAACGCAGCCGTAGATAATGTGTCCATGAATGGGTGTGGTTCTGTGCCAATAAAACTTTATTGTCCAAAAACAGGTGACAGGCTGGTTTGGCTCATAGGCTGTAGTCTGCCACTTCCTGTTTTATTCTACCTGCTGTTCATTTCAGGTCACTGTGCATGGCATCCTGGCCCCCTCTACAGCTCCAGTCCTCCAACCAGAGCCAGCTGTTCCCTCAAAATGCTACAGCCTGTGACAATGCTCCGGAAGCCTGGGACCTGCTGCACAGAGTGCTGCCGACATTTATCATCTCCATCTGTTCCTTCGGCCTCCTAGGGAACCTTTTCGTCCTGTTGGTCTTCCTCCTGCCCAGGCGGCGACTGAACGTGGCAGAAATCTACCTGGCCAACCTGGCGGCCTCTGATCTGGTGTTTGTCTTGGGTTTGCCTTTCTGGGCAGAGAACATTTGGAACCAGTTTAACTGGCCTTTCGGAGCCCTCCTCTGCCGTGTCATCAACGGCATCATCAAGGCTAATTTGTTCATCAGCATCTTCCTGGTGGTGGCCATCAGCCAGGACCGCTACTGCGTGCTGGTGCACCCTATGGCCAGCCGGAGGCGGCAGCGGCGGAGGCAGGCCCGGGTCACCTGCGTGCTCATCTGGGTTGTGGGGGGCCTCTTGAGCATCCCCACATTCCTGCTGCGATCCATCCAAGCCGTCCCAGATCTGAACATCACCGCCTGCATCCTGCTCCTCCCGCATGAGGCCTGGCACTTTGCGAGGATTGTGGAGTTAAATATTCTGGCTTTCCTCCTACCACTGGCTGCGATCATCTTCTTCAACTACCACATCTTGGCCTCCCTGCGAGGGCGGGAGGAGGTCAGCAGGACAAGGTGCGGGGGCAGCAAGGATAGCAAGACCACAGCGCTGATCCTCACGCTCGTGGTGGCCTTCCTGGTCTGCTGGGCCCCTTACCACTTCTTTGCCTTCCTGGAATTCTTATTCCAGGTGCAAGCAGTCCGAGGCTGCTTTTGGGAGGACTTCATTGACCTGGGCCTGCAACTGGCCAACTTCTTGGCCTTCACCAACAGCTCCCTGAATCCAGTCATTTATGTCTTTGCGGGCCGGCTCTTCAGGACCAAGGTCTGGGAACTTTATAAACAATGCACCCCTAAAAGTCTTGCTCCAATATCTTCATCCCACAGGAAAGAAATCTTCCAACTTTTCTGGCGGAATTAAAACAGCATTGAACCAAGAAGCCTGACTTTCTTATCAATTCTTTGTGACATAATAAATGCTATTGTGATAGGCTAAATAATCACTCCCATCGGTTGGGGGGTACTTAATCCCTGGACTTTATGAATGTTACTTTATGTGATAAAGGGGACTTTACAGCTGTTACCAAATTAAGGGTCTTGAGATGGGGATATGATCCTGAATTATCCAGGTGGGCCCTATAGAATCACAAGGGTCCTTATAAGAGGGAGGCAGGAGGCTCAGAGTCGGGAGATGTGACTGTGGAAGCAGAGGCCATAGGAATTCAGGGCGGCCACTGTGAGCCAAGGATTGCAGGCACTCTCGAGAGGCTGTAAAGGGCAAGGAAATGGCTTCCCCCAGGAGCCTCCAGAAGGAATGGGTCCTGCCAACTCCCTGTCTTCAGCCCAGGGAAACAGATTGAGGATTTCGGGCCTCCAGAACTGTTAGAGAATACATTTGTGTTTTGTTGTTTTGTTTTGTTTTGTTTTGCTTTGCTTTGCTTTTTTGAGATAGGGTCTCGCTCTGTCGCCCAGGCTGGAGTGCACTGGCACAATCACGGCTCACTGCAGCCTCAATTTCCCAGACTCAGGGGATCCTCCTACCTCAGCCTCCTGTAGCTGAGACTACAGGTGTGCACCACCATGCCTGGCTAACTTTTCTATTTTTTGTAGAGATGGGGTCTTCCTGAGTTGTCCAGGCTGGTCTCAAATCCAAGGGCTCAAGTGATCCTCCACTTTGGTCTCCCAAAATGCTAGGATTATAGGCGTGGCCACTGCGCCGGGTCCCATTTGTGTTTTAAGCTACCAAGTTTCTGGTAATTTGTCATAGCAGCAGCAGGAAACAAATAACAAGTATTGGGTAATGGCCTCTCTTATTACACTTCCATTTGTCTTTTCAAAGCTTTCTAGGCTAACTGCCAGGAATACAGGGATGGTACAGCTAGAAGTTCTATCTCCAAGGAATTTACATACATCTACATATTATCATATAAAAAATGAAATGAGAAATTGCATGAGCACACCACGGATCCAGCATCTTTCTCCTTCAGAGAGAAAGGGGATGGGTTCCCTCTCAGGTTAGCAGAGAAGACGCTGTGAAGGGAGTCAGCCGTGAGCCTGGTTTCCACAAAGGGTGCAACCTGGATACGTGGAGACAGGGAGGAAGGGCTGGCCGAGGCGGGAAAGGGGGAGCTGCTCACAAAAGAATGCTTGCGCATGCTCTTGTTGAATGTGTAAGGCATTGGTGCAGGTCTTGCTATGAGAGACCCAAAGGTGACCTAACAGTGTCTCTACCCTCCAGGGACTCACAGCAACCGGGACAATAATTAAGAGATTGTCATAGAGCAGGGTGCCCGCCTTCATCAGGGTGAGGGGTGCCGTGAGAACCAGAGCAGGGCTCCAGTCTGGGTGGCTGGGAGGGATCGTTATAGAGGGGTTCCTGGAAGAAGAGACACATAAACCGAATCCCAAAAAATGAGAAGCTGACCAAGCAAAATGGAGGAAAGGAGTGTTCCAGACCGAAGAAACAAAGTAGGCCCAGAGGCAGGTGGGGTTACAGGTTAGGAGGGAGAGGTTGAAGGACGGCAGAGGACGAGGTGGGTCACGGAGGGAATTGGGGCTGGAGGAGAATGGACAGGCTGGGTCCACAATGGTCAGCTGGCAAAGACAGTTCACCCAGGAAGCATGGTGGGCTCCAGGGGGCTTTGAGGGCCCCCTTGAAGCTGGAAAGCATGGCTGTGTTGTGTGAATTTACTCTCAATGCTCGACAGACCCAGGAAAGGATTGCTCTGGAGGAGGGTTTAGCCAGACAGACGGCCATACGTCATGGGAGTTGGGGATCCTGGTCAGACTCTGGGGAATAATGGAGAAGGAAGAAACAAGCACAGGGAGAGAAAGAAGTGAAGTGAGATCAGTGTGTTAAAGGACGGGTGTAATGAGACAACCTGGGTGACAGAGCAAGAAAGAGAAGAAGGGCTGGGCATGATCTTCTGTACACTGTGGAGGGAGTCAGTCGTGAGCCTGATTTCCACAAAGGGTGCAATATATAATCCCAGCACTTTGGGAGGCTGAGACAGGTGGATGACTTGAGCCCAGGAGTTTGAGACCAGCCTGGGCAACATAGCAAGACCTCATCTCGACAAAAAATACAAAAATTATCCCGGCGTGGTAGTGCGCACCTGTAGTCCCAGCTACTCGGGAGGCGGAGGCAAGAGGATCATCTGAGCCCAGGAGGTCAAGGTTACATGCAGTGAGCCAAGATTGTGCCACTGCATTCCAGCCTGGCTGACAGAGGGAGACCCTGTCTCATTAAAAGAGAGAGAGAGAGAGGAAGTCATAGCCACAGAGCAGGAATGTTTGAATAGAACATTCCAGAGGCAGAGCCATCCCAGGAGATGACAAGGACCAAGTATATCCCTGACAGCAGGTGGCTGAAGTAGAGGGAAGAAGAAGGAGGTTGGAGACAACATAGTCAGCGAATGGGGAGGTCAGGTGGTGGGTGGACCCTCCACTGGGCCCCTGCAGGCAGGTGGGACACTGTCAGGCCCTGGGGAGGAGAGAGTCCGTGGGCCAAGAGGCCATTCCGAGGTCAGTTTCCATGGAGTAGGGGAGAGGGTGTAGTGACTGGACTCCAAGACACTTGGGGGAATGGGGAGAATGGCAGTCCCCACAGCTGCACGGGAAGGGCTGGTCCTCACAGAACAGCAGCAAAGACTCATTCATTCCAGGAATGGAAAGAATGCCATGTTCTTGCAGCCTGGAGACAGGGTGTGAGAGGCTGGCAGCGGCTGGGCCACCGGGACCTCATCAGTGATAACCCTGCGCTCCAGCCCCTGCAGGTTTTCCGGAGAGCAGAGTGTGGTCAGAAGGCCTGGAGCTGAGCCAACAGGCACGATCCAGCCTGCACATGTGTTTAATTTGGACCACATGGCATTTTTTAGAACTCCAAGCCCCCAGGCTCTTGAGTTGGTTGCCGGGACTGAAACTCCCCACAGGGAGCCAGCTTTCCAGTTTCTCTTGAATGTTTGGAAGATCCAGCAACACTGATTCAATTTCATTCATTCAGCAGATATTTATTAAGCATTTACTTTGTCAGACACTGTTGTGGACACTGAGAATATGGCAGTGAACAAAAGACAGGAACATCCCTGGGCTCCTTGGGGTTGACCTTCCGGGGTCCCCCCAGAGCTCCAATTCTTCGGTGCTGCGTAGCAGAAGCCCCGTGAACAGGGCGCCCTCCCATCAGATTCACACACATGGCAGCTATGGGAGGTTGGGTTTGCAACCCCTGATCCGGACCAGCTCTTCTTGTGCAGTCTAGGAAACAGAGCAGTAAGACCTGTCCAAGTTCACCCAGTAGGACTCACAGCAGCCACACACAGCAATAGGCTCAGTCATCTCATTTAATCACCTGACTCCCTTGTGAGGTCTGTTTCAGGACGTCCACTTTCTAGGAGAGGAAGAGGAGGCTAAGGAAGGCAGTGCTTGCTCAGACTGCAGAGGCTGGATTCGCCCAACTCATCTGACTCCAACACCAGTGTGATTTCCAAGCCCCCAGGCAGGAATTCATTGGGCAAAGGCTCTGTGGCAAGGTGGCAAAAATAGGCAGGAACAGGCAGGAATAGAGAGTGGGAAAGGGAAAATAATACCTGATCCCTCTTCTACTCCGAGTGAACTGACCCATGTATGCCCTCCTTTCTTGTTTCTCAGCCTGCCTGAAGCTGGCGGCTTATCAAAATCCTTTCTAGGGCTTGCAAAAACCAATCCCACACTCGAGAAGAACGTGCTGGCCAGTGAAATCGGACATTGCTCACAGGATCTAATTCAACGGTAGACTGCAGCCACATTCTGAGAAGTCAGACACCTGATTTATGAGACGCACATAAGTAACGTTTACTGAAGCCCAGCAAATGGCCCCACAGCGGGAGAGAAACTGGCAAACTCATACAGTGGAATTCTGTTGCCCTTCTGTGGTGAAGGCCAGTTATTCATTTGCAGAGGGAGAAATTTCTGCCTTGACTAAAACGATCGATGCTTTGGGAAAAGGTAATATATCTGAGTTCCCATGGATCTGGTTGACAGGTTCGCCTGGCGTGTTCCACATGGGGCCAGGCTCAGGCCATACCTGTCGTGCTAACACCTGGGGTGGAGGGAGGAATTAGTAAATAGTCTTCCAGCATCCCCAGCTCCGGCCCCCATGTGGGCTTCCACTCTCTCCCTGAGAAGGGCCAAGTAGAGAGACGGAGGAGCTTCCACTCCAATCCGCTCCCAGCTTTGGGTCTGTCCTGGGCTCCAGAACCGCATGATCAGATGCCATATGTGGCCTTCACTGCTCCCTACAGTGGGAAAGTAAGAAAACTGCCCCCACCCTACCCCTTCATCACCCCAATCCATCATGGGGAGTGGGCGGCGCTAAGGCTCTCCAATAATCCATCATGGGGAGTGGGCGGTGCTAAGGCCCTCCAAATCCCAGCCTTGGGGAAACTCCCCGATGTCGCAATGGCCACAAGCAGGCTCTTGTTCTCCGGAGATGAGTCACAAGTTTGACGAGGAGCAGGTCGGAAGCAGCCCTGGGAAGTGTTCCTCCCCACCCTTGCTCCCACCACACTCCCAGGAGCCTGGGCATCCAACCAGGGCTGATCCAAGCCCTTGGCTCCGGCTGAGCTCCGCTCTGGCCTCTGTGCACCTTCAGCTCCTTCCTGCCATTCTCTTTCCCTGTGCCCAGCCCCTTTCTCCAGACCCCCTTGATTCCCTCTCAGCACCCTCATGCCTTCCCGGACCCCCTGAGCTCAGGCCCCTGCCAAAGAAGGGCCTCACAGCGGGGCTACTGAGTGCACAGTGCAGCCGGTAAGAGGCCCAGGGCTCAGTCACGCAGGCCAGTGTTCCAGTCCTCGCTCCACCACCGCAGAAACTCGGCATCCCATCTGTCAAATGGGAATGAGGAGAGCAGTGCCTCACTGTGTTGTTGTGAAAATTAAGTGACCCAAAGGACTGCCTTACTCCC